AAAAAATATAGAATAATTTAAAATTCTGTAGTCGGTGCTAAGTGTTTAAAAGAATTTAAGCCCTGACTTCAGAAGCTATTATGTGGAAATCATTTTATTGTTTTTAGGTTTTTGAAATTGGCTTTAATTATTTAAGTAATGTTTATGTTTTGACCCTTTGAGTGGACTTAGGAATATCAAAAGATCAATTTAACTACTAGAATGTAGTCTAAACATTTACATTAAAAATTTAATCTCTAAATTTTCGATCATTAGCGATGGAAATTTTCTATAAATTTAGATGGGTGAAGTGTTATTATAATAAGAAAAACAGTATCTATAACATCGGTTTTTAATTGACAAAGATACCGCGTATCATACGTACAAAATATAACATACAGTCAAATTGCGAAGCCGCTTCTTTTTTGAAGTCGCACCACTTGAAGAGCGCCATGGCAACCGCGCTCATACTATTATCACAGTCTATAAATCCATAATTATCCTTTTAAATGGTATGCCTTCATCAGAATCTTGAGACGCCCATGGGTGTTGTAATTGATGATGATGAAAAATTTGAAAAATACAAAAAATTTTAAAACCAGTGATAGATTGATATATCCATCTCGTATATTTGTGAGTTAGTGTATTCATGTTACGGCCTAAGCCTATGAAACTATGATAAATGTAAAATAATTTGCTCAGCTAAAGACAGCAGCGTTAGGAAAGCGTCATCAACAATCGATCTGCGAAATGTGAATGGGAGTGAAGCATCTCAGAAATCAATAAAAGCAAAACATATTAGATATGAGAGGATATTTACAACCTATTTTTTCAAGTAACTGGAGGATAATAAAAAACAACTTCGTATTAGTAATTGGATATACTACGTAATAAAGTCAACTTGCAAAAAGTATTTTATGGAAAGTCAATTAGAGTTCGTCAATATTGGGAAAAATTGAATTGTTCCTGAATGAGGTCACATCCTGTTTATTTTGTATTTCACGTACACAAAGGATGAAAAAATATTTATGATTTTATTTCATGCCTATTTCATATATTGTTTTTCATTTATTTCTTACTAGCTATGCTCTACGGTTTCATTCGCGTATATTACACGTCTGAAACGCGCGACATGACACTTCGCTTAAATTTAAAGTTACAGCCTATACTAGCTTAAAATTTTCTAGCCTGAACTATAAAATGGAGGATAAATCTTAAACTACTATAATTACTTTTAGGTTTAATCTCCCTTTATTTCAATACACTTTTAAGAGCACTTTGCAAACTTTTCTATACTCTAAAAAATATTCTAAATTTTTGCCCCCAAAATGTGACATATCTTCTGAAATCACCTCATCATCAGTGTTATTTTTTTTCTTCTTAAGTCGGATTTCAATTTAAAGAATAAATAAAATAATAGAGACTTAGTTGGGGCTACATTGTAGATGGTCGAGTTCAGTGAAACCTCATTCCTTAATGGTAGCCTTGGAAACCCCTGATGTGCGGACCGGAGTACTATCATGAAGCTACAACCTTCCTCGCGACAATTTCTCTCGATGTTTTTCTGAAATAGCATCTCGCAATTGATGTAGCTAGGAAGCATAGTAATTGCCTGTTACTGTTGTATTGTGTTCTTTAAAATCCACCAGTAAAATTCCTTCGGGATCGAAAAAGATTGTAGCCATAATTTTTTTTTGAGATGAGTCACCTTTGCTTTTTTAGCCACGTTGATCTCGGACGACGCCACTACATTTATTCCTTATTGCTTAGCGGTTAGCCACCGTAGAGTCTATATCACCTGAGGATGCCTCGTGTAGAGGCGAAACACGTGTCGTATTATTGTCAGTGGTGTGTCTTGCCTAGTGTAGTGGTGTTGGGAGTAGCGGTGCTGGGATTAGTGGTGACGGGGATAGTGCACGCAATTGAGGGAGGGCGGGAGGTGTTTCTTCATACTAGGTAAGACACATCATTTTATTTTATAACGCGGATATTTGCGAAGTAAATTTTTGTAAAAGCTTTTATATAATGGATTTCCGCAAAGTAACGCCTGATTCTATTAATTATTTTAATTTTTCATTACATTTTAAAATACGCGTCCAAATAAGATGCTATATTGAGCAAAGTTTATGTCCATAAAATTATCTTGATGATTTAGATACTTTCGTTTGTAAGGATTTATATATCATGTTTAATAATAGTGCTCATTGATCACTTTTTAATTTTCTAAAATAACTTATTATGACTTATGTATACGAGATAGGCATATAGTGCTGCAAACTTTTTTGTAGATGCAGTAAAGGTCTATACTTCTGTAGAACATTATTTTCACCTATCACTAACCACTACGCCAGCTCACGCGGATAAAGCAGTTTGAGGGTGCTTTTCCTTCCGACTTGCTTCACAGAAATCAATAATAGGAGGTATAACCTAATGTTAGAAAACCTATAACTATTTGACATAAATCGGGCTATAATATAAAAAGAACTTTTCAAATTGGTCTAGTAATTCCAGAGACTAGCGTGTTTAAGCAACCAAAAAACATCTCTTCCGCTTTATTATATTAGTATAGAAAGTTATAAATTGTATAATAGATATTAATTTTAATTACATAAAAATATACAGTATGTTATAATATAATTAAAAGAAAACCCAAAACTAAACACTTTAATTATTATACATTCCTACTTCCGCAGTTTAGTACCAAGAACGCTATGATGTTTGTGCTGTTAGCCTTTTGGATTTTACAGCTTTATCGGACACAGGGCTCGCGGTCTTTAAGGCTAAAAAAGCGGGGAATTTATATTATTCTGCGTTGTTATTTGCGTAGCGACGACTCCTAGGATAGATTAAACTGCACGTAAATGAGTTATCTAACGTCCGAACACGAGGTGACCAGTCCCGGCTCTGACAGCTGTCTCGTATTTTTCGATATTCTGGGCAGTGAGAGCCACCCAGGAATGCGAGTGTACGATGTGTACGCGGTGTGGAGTATGCGGCACGCCCATCTGCGGTCTCGCCTGATCGACGATCTCGCTGCCATCCGTTGTTGTCCTAGCTGTGTTTGTGGCAGTAGGTGAGTTTGTAGTGTTTATGTGTGAATGGCTGGCAACATTTCTGTTGTTGGCATCTAACGGAGCGGAGGGTTCGATTAGAACATTACGGGGCCTCCGAAGGCTTTCCGGTTACTGATAGCCTAATCCGACTCCGAACTTTCGTTTGGAGTTAGAGTGTATGTGGCTGCATTAACCACTAGAGGGATGATATGTGTCTCGGCTCTCTCAAAACAGCATTTAGACTTTTTCTTGAAATACTCAGTGATCATCGGAAGTTGACTCTGTGTAAGTCGGTGTTTCGCTAGTAACACCGACCTCCGGTGGCAATGCGAATAAATCTATTTTGGACGACTTGGAGGTGGTAAAAATATCTATGGGCCGCATACGCAAAAACTATGCTTGCGTAAGACATGATAGGTCTTTAGCATGCATTTTAGAGATTGAAATTGTGTCTTAAGGACAGTTTACTCTTTCTGTTGACTAGCGGGTGAAGGCAACTAATGACGACTTTGGCTCGAATTCGAACATTGCGAATATGATTCCCTAATGTCATACCATCGTGGAATGTGACTCCTAGATATTTGGCTGTTGGATGTCAGGGGATCTAAAGGCCGTACAGGCTGATCGTACCAAACAATTTCTTGGGGTTTCTGATTTGACGATTAGAAGTGGATCCTTTGAAAGTGTATTAAAAATAAATAAAAATAAGTATAATTAAACAAGCTGGCTGGCAACCGCTATTTTTATTTTTATTTATGGTCGTTATTAGGAAGACGCTGTTGCACTTCTCCTAATTTGTTTCCTTCTGTTGCCCCTTATAACACCCATGGGGTGATATGGGAAAGTGGATGTTCTTACACCGCTACTACACTTTAGATCTTAAATATAATCAAATATTATCTGCAATTAACCAATTTATTGCCATAAGATAACCGAATCGTACGTATTACTTCTATAATATTACAGCCTAAGAAAGCACATCTTATTCTTTATTCAGATATCGTGTGTTATTATTTATTCAAATGAATACTACAATTTCACTGAACTTTACGTACTAACTAACAATATCATAATGTCTGAAGACACGCTATTCGAACTAGGGTTCAGTCGAATTTATACTTTGTTTTTCTATGATTATTCTGTACACAAAATATCATTACTCTATCACTTCAAGTCAAAGTATCACAGTCACTTTGACTTAAAGTGATACACAGCACGATACTTAACGGCATCGTAACTTTTAAGTATACGTGCAATTTTTGGTAACGTACAGTCAAGCGTAGGGTCTAGAACTATCCACAACAAAAGTAAGTTTTAAGACTTTTATAAAATCATTTCGTTTTGGTTTTGTTTTTAAAGCACTGAATAAGTGACGTAAAATGAAATCGCTTGTTTGCGAGAAGCTTGACATAATTCAAAAAGTGCAAGTTTTGGGTATGATGATTTAAAAGTTTAAAAAATAAATAAATGTATATTACAGTATGTACTGAAACATTGACTATGTTAAATCTTCTTCTGATTTATCAGTCTCAATGTTAAACTAAAATACAAGACTAAAATGCAAGAACTTTTGTTATTATTTCAAGTTTTCAACAATAGGGTATCACTTGTGACGTTATTACGGATAAAAAATAATATTTTTTTGTGTTATTTAAACATAAGTCTATATTGATAATAAGTATTTTATTCAGATGAGGTTTTAATGACATTAAGTCATTATTGAAAACAAGTACCTACAAATTAACTAGGTACTTAAGAAATAAAATAATCAACAATAACTTACACTGAAACTTAAATCACTTTAACATTGGTCTTATCTAATTTAACAATAACTTTCAAATAAACTTTAAATCACTGTAACATTGTTTATAGTAAATATTTGGACTTATCCTGAGATGAAGAACTTTTTACTTGCGTATCTGATTAAAAAAATATTTAAAAAATCAACTTAATGTTTAAATTACGACTTTAGAGAGAGTTATAAAAAGGAGCGTAATATCTGGGAATGGCATGTTTTCTGATCAACTCCAACAAACCGTCTTTTTTCTTCTTAATTAATCCTGGTTTTACGTCATACGCTTTTTTCACTTCAACATCTACAGATTTTTTCTTTCTTATCACTTATGCTTTTTTAAATTCTTGCTGTTCATAAGAAGTTTTAAAAAATATGGCTCGAGGATGATTTTTATCTACTTTCACAACTTTCAAGTCTGCAAATTTGATAGTGTTTCCTTCTTCATCCTTTGTTATGTTTACACCCATTTGAGAACAGACATCTTTCCAATCGAGAAAATCATCATTGTTCATTATATTTACCCGAAAAGGTGTAGGGTTTGATCTAGCAACTTTGATTGCACTAATAAAGGACTCAGGGGTGTACATTGGACCACTTCTGATTTGCTTTTTAACCTGTCTTTCAATGAGGGAATGCGCAGAGTCACCCTCGTTTTGGGTGTGTCCCTTAATTAAATATTTGTGAGTAATTGTTTTTATGTTTGGGTAATGTTGCACAGCAAACATGTACATAGACAACATAATTTTATTTTTTTGCTGGCCCACACAGTTATCGGTATAAAATATTACATCCACTGTGCTGTTGTTTTGGGCCAGATTTTGTAAATATTTAAATAGGCAGGTGCCCAGATCATTAACGTCCCTGTTGGCTGTAGCTTCATCCCAAACATAACATTCTACATCTTTAGAATGAAGATCGTATATAGTGAAGTTAAAGACATTTAACTTGCTTACATAATAAAATAATGAGATATCCCCTTTGGGGCATTGGAACACAGCTTGCATGTCATAAACAGCGACAACTGCATCTTTATTTTCCTTATCCTTGACTTTTTCTGCTCGGCATAAGTCTTTCTCTTTTAAATGCGTATCATATTCTTGCTTCTTCTTTTCTTTTTCTTCGCCTTCACAGTTATCATAAGCAACACAACAATCACAACGATCTTTTTTTGGTTGGAATAGTGAAATATTATATTCTTCCGTAAAAATTCTGTAGAACAGAGTATAATTCCCATATGGAATGTTTTTAGACTTACAGATTTCTATGTAATCTTTATGGATATCGACAATTGATCTACCACCATCTATATATTCTTTGGAAGAGGTGGCTCTACAATAATGGAAATCCATTCTGGGAATAGAATCAATGTGTTCCTTTATTGCTTTACGGATAGTATCATCCACTTTTGCGTGATTTTTGTGTTTCCCTCTATTATCGTCTGCTAAAAGATTCCCTGCAAATTTATTTTTTTTATCTAAGACTGTTCGGATAGGTCGATCTGTGATTCCAAGCGTATTTTTAAAAAACAATTTGCACACTCTTATTTTTTCTTCATGCAAATTAAAATAAAATGCACTATTGTACCGGCGCTTTTCTCTGGTGCCACCTTCACGTACATAGCGATACTTAGGTTTTATATCCTCTATACAATTAGAAATATAATTCCACTGTTTTAAAATACTGCCTAGCGACCAATAATCATCGAATATAGACATTCTTTCAGCTTCAGTAAACATTGTGCTGCACTTCAATTTGCATTTTTCAAAACAGGCATTTTTAATTTTACGCGCTGGTACAATTTTTTTAGAAGTACTCACATAGGATTTTCCTTCATTTCTTAGTTTTTTCATAACATTCTTTTGCCAGTTATTTTCATCTCTTTTACGTTTTCCTCTCTTCTTTATTGCATTTTCTGTATTTTCTTGATCTGGAACATGATTAGCATCACTGCTTATGACTAAATCTGATTGTACCGGCAACTGTCTAAATTGTTCATTATCATTTTCACTAAAGTAGTCAAACATTATTGGAGACACGGGGGCTTGACTGTCAGGTGGTTGGTAGGGAGGATCCTTGACGGAATCATCACTATCTGTAAAAGAAAAGAAACGTTAACGGTCTAATAGTAATATTATTTAACTACTACCAACTTATCTCTGCTAAGCAGGCCTTGAATAAATAGAAACATATTTGAAAATATAAATTCGTAAATTGGTATAAAACTGAAAAATGACCTTCAATGAATGAAGTAGATGATGAAGAACTTGTACTGCTATTGGAAGAGCTCGAGGAAGAGGAGCTGTTGGAGCGACTGCGTTGAGTATTTCCACTGCTATGTTCCTTTGAAGAAACATTGCCCTCAATTTCATTGGTATCATCGTTTTCTAAAAATCAAGTAAACAAGTAAATTAAAACAAACAAAGTGAATGAGGAAAAATAGGTTATAAATAAGTAACTATAATTAACCTTTTTCATCTGACACTGTTTTCGGAGGTCCATCTACACGGTGATTAATTAAAGCCAATATTCTTCTCCCTCTGCTATTTCTTAAACTGGAATCCATGACTATCAAAGAAGTACCTTAAACATAAAATTGTTATTATCAATAATGACTTAATATAAAATAGTGCAAATAACATCAAGAAATATTCTGTGACTTTAACAACAATAACAATGTAACTTATAATATGACATTATTGAAATAGTCTATTGATTTATTTTTGCTATCAAAAATGTACAATAACGAATTATGACTGTCGGTATCTGTTTGTATTTCCAGAAAGAACGACTTAACGGAAAATATGACGGTGATTTTTAAACGTATTTCAAATAAAAGGTCGTCATAAGTATAGTAATGACATCTTTCTATTAAAGGGTTACGTGATATTATTGACTTACCTTGTAAAAAGAACGTCGTAACACAAAATTTGTCGTCGTCGCTGAAATCAAGCACGTGCACAATCTAAAACGTTTCCACGCTAACTGAGATGCTACGGTCTCGAAACAAAGCAGCAGTAAGATTGCGACGGAACATAAGGGCACAACCTCTCTCGCTCTCTCATTTTTGTACTTAGCGTAATGTCGTTTTTGCAGCAAATAGAACAAAATTTTCTGCGTTCACCTGTATACTTAACTCAAAACTGCTGATTTTTGAATTATGTCAAGCTTCTCGCAAACAAGCGAAATATTAAAATAACTTTCAACTAAAATCTTCGTCTTTTTTAACAGAATAGGAATATAAAACATAACAAAAATTATGAAACAATAAGAACTAATAACAATAAAAAAATGTCTGCACATAATGATTTCGTATATATAAGCGAACACTACACATTCAATAAAACTATTTTTACGGATTCTATCGTGAATAATAATTAAAAATAAGTATAATTTAATTATAATTATTTTTAATTATTATTCTAATTTATATTTAAAAATATGTATGATTAAAATTTCTATCATAATATATAAATTAAATTATAAATTATAATAATAATAAAAAAATACGTATGATTAAACTCGATATAATTCGTAAAAGTAGTTTTATTCAAGGACTGCAAATAATATATGCCTTTAAAATTATGCGTTTTTTTTTTGGGCTCACAGTACAAACAATAATTTATTGACGTAGGATTACTCAAAAATAATTTTGAGAGTTTTACATAATTTCCCCCGGTCTTTCTTATTCTTCCTCTTCTCAAGTAGAAGAGTTTGAGCTTTGCTCGAACTTCGAACCAGAAAGATGTTCACTGTGTATCTATGTTTGATTGCTGATGTCACAAACTTCTTCTTCTGGACTATTTCTTTCTACGTCTTCACTTTCTTAGTCAGTGCTACCTTGTATAAGACGTGAAATATCATCATCACGGATATAGCGACTTATTGTTATAAACACCCCGAAATAAAAATTCTTTTGTTTTCTATTTTGTATTCTTCTATAGGCACCCCATTGATGTAAAACAGGTACTTACCGTTGCGAGAGCACGACACTCATTTACCCGTCGGCAGCTACCACGGCACACTGAGAATACCTGAAACAGCGAGTTTGTAGTTCGCCAACATACGCCAACAATAAAACGAAAAAATGTCTCGTGGGGTCTACTTAGACACCGCCCGTTTAGTCAAAGGTTAAAATTGAGCAACGTTTGAGTATTTGGGCATAAGTGTACCGAAAATAAAGTTTTTGGCATATCTAATTTTAGTAATTTTAAAACCAACCAGGTACAAATAATAGAACTTCTTAAAGAAATATATCGATATTTTTATTTATAAAAATATATTTTGTTAAATCCGATTTTCCTTGACTCATATCATTATTGTGTACGTAACGCCACTATTTCAGCAGTGTCAAAGGTGCGAGACATCTGGTAATGCGATCGTCGATCTGCATAAGCAAATATTCCCTACATCATGAGAGGCTCGTCTTCAAAGGTGGAATTTTAAGGGTTTATTTCTTAATAAAACTAATTAACAAAAGAACTTACATTCTACTTGACAGTAAGTAGGTACTGCAGTACATAAACAACTGCAGCTAACTTCATACAAAGAAGGTTAGATTCGAATTTCCCCTTCAAATTCCACTCCGTATTTTAAAAGATAGACATCTAATATTCTTTTTGAATCAAAATTTTAAAAATTTACGGTACAAGTGCAGCTTGACCAGCAAGAAGTGCATAAAGCATTAGGTAAATTCCAACGAAGTAATAAATTCCACTGTCTCTGGGGAATTTACGAGTGACCTAGTTTATCGAGCTGTGAATCGCGACCATATGTGGAACTCCTTTTTATAGAAAATCGTAATTTTAAATCAAATATTAAAGTTATTTTCTGTTATTTCATACAAAAAAAAATAGGATTATGAAAACTAAAAAAAAATAGCCACAATAACATCAAGCCGTTTGAAGTCTTTTGAAATAAGCCATAAATTGGTCACTCCAACATCATATCATTAAACCAGGCTATTAACGGTACAATAAAAAATACAATCAGGTATTACTTTGCGGAAATACATTTAATTAAACACTATCCACCCTTATTATTTATTATATAGGTATTTCAAAAAACTTTTTTTTAACTAAAGTTCCTTAAAAATAAATCTCCATTCTCGGCATAGCCTAGGTACCTTCAGGCATTACTGTATATTTGTTCGTGAAGTTTAATTTCATTCGGTTCAGCCATTCTAAAGATTAGTCCGGACAAACGTACAGACAGACAGATATTTTTTTAAATTACTTAATTTTTAAAATTAGCCGCGGTTAAGTATGACATTGCGAAATCAAACACCTCAGTCCCCCCCCCCCCCCCCCCGTGACCATGGATGCTGTAATGTGTTCGAAACGTCGGAAATATAAAATTAGATAATATACGCGATAAAATCCGTTTAAATTAATTTTATTTAAAAACAATGGTTATTTCATTTTTGATAGTATGCAAATTACCCCCAGCCTTTTAGCCTGTTATTTAGATATTACAGAAAGACACTTCAGTTTTATTTATATGTATTGCAGTATAGAATGTATAAATGTTAAAAATTAATTCGCATACAAAAATTATAATTATGTGATGACTGGTGTGGGGTTTGTGGTATTGGTGGATTAAAGGAGGGCGAAAGATGCTTTTCAAACTAGGTAAGACATCCTTTTCAGGGTTCCGTAATTACACAACAAGGAATCCCTATAGTTTCGCCAGGTCCATCCGTCCGTCTGTCCGCGGTTTTGCTCAGAAACCCTAGGTGCAACAGATCTGTATTTTGGCATAGTTATGGATATTAATCACACCTAGAAAACTGTTAAATAAAATCTTAAAATAGTTTTATTTTAGGTGCTTCCCATACAAGTAAATTGAGGATGATTTTTTTTACCCGTTTCTACCATGTTTTTAACTATTTCATTGGTGCCGGCGGGGATCGAACCCGGGTTGCTCGCGTACTGTGAAACTTACAGCGAGCGCTAACCATCTAAGCTGAGATTTACCATGTGCTCGGCGGTGAAGGAAAACATCGTGAGGAAACCTGCATATCTGAGAAATAAAAAAAATATATCTCGAAGACATGTGAAGTTCGCCATACACACATTGGGGCAACGCGGCAGACATTTCCTTGCCCTAAAATCCTCTCAGAAATGAGAGGAGACTTGTGCCCAGCAGTGGGACGTATATATGCTGCAACTTTACTTTTTACCATGTGGGCTATCGTTGGATAGGTCTTTCAAAAACACTAGGGGTGTACACCACCACCTTTTTTTCAGGCGTCCGTTTGCGATATATTTAGTTTTGAATGATATATTTTATTAGAGTCATGTGTCCCCCCTTCCCACTCTACCAACTAAACCACTGTTTTTGGAAATGTGAAAAGTATACAAAATCGTAGTATAAATAATGAGGTTAAAAGGAAAACTATTACAGCTAAGTAAAATTAAGAAGTTAACGAGTAGTAAACAATTTATATGAAGAAAACGACTAACATGCATTACTATTATAGCTTTAATTTTTCATTTGTCGTATAGGCAGGGAGGGATCTTTCTTACTTACTCATTCAATGTATTCACACAATCATATATATATATATCCTTATACAGTTTCATTCGTCACACTCTTGGTTTACGCGGGTGACCTCAGGATAATTTAAGGCAGAGGTGGTTTACGTGAAAGTTCGTTAAGGTCATATATGTATATCTTAGGGTTGCACTGCCGGGAATATATAGATAGATCGTCAACTATGATCATCTTTGTACGAGTTGAATGATTTAATGTGAATTGTATTATCAGTTACGATCTTCATATTTGGGCCTGTAGTGTTTTCCATATATGTAGTATACAGTAAATATTGTTATTTGTTTTACTAATAATTTACCATGCACAAATACACAAACATACATTTATATATAAGTCACTGTCTCGAGCGCACCGCGTCAGGTACACGAGAGCCTCGGGCGAGAGTGGACGTGTTTAGTTAAAGTGCGTGCCGAGCCTGTGTTACACTACAGTGATTAGAGAAGATAGCAGACATTGCAGGACCTATTTTTAGTCGTTACAGCAGTAAAACTGCAAACTCACTTATTATGCTCATTATAAAGAAAATCCATATATTGTCACGGTTAACCACGGAAACCTACCTCTATATTGTGAGTGGCCCGACACGAACTGGGACAGTTTTTAAATTTTTGTTTTTTGCGGATCATAGCTAGTTATATTTTAACATCTTTGAAAACATAAAGATTTTATACTTATATATAATAAGCCTAAACCTAAAAAAATTCATTACCCTATTTCATCCCATAGGGTAATGAATTTCCCATCTTACAATAACGCAATTAAATGTTTACAAATTTATAACATAATGAAACAAAAACAGTATTTTAAACAATAAAGTGGCGATTACGATTTTCATGCTTGACACTTTAATTTTATATATAAAAATAATTTAACAATATATTATTGGGAAGGTGTACATAAATTTGACAATTAAGTAAAAAAATAATTATAAATATATTTTTATAGGA